TTCATACAAACTAAAGCTCATTGCTTCGAACTACAATTACTACCACTCTAGTATCTCCTGACTATCCACGAGCAATAATGGAAAATACTGAAAGAGAAAGAAACAGGGGAAAGGAGAAAGGAAAAGAAACTCTGTACCTGAAATGGAGAAGAAGAGGTAAACACAACTGCTAACAAATCATCTTTATGCTCATCTTCCCTTCACTTCCACAATGATTCTGCACAGGAACATGCCAGGACAACCTGCTGCGCGTGAGGAACACGAAGAGTCACAGACTAGTAGAAGCTTTTGAAAGTTAACTCCTCTAAGCATCACCTGAGGGTTTGAAACACCATTGAAGAATACAAAAAGGACTCTTACACTCAGCTTTCTCAGTTAATAATGCAGACGAGTATATAACGTATTTCCCATTTTCAACAGGAGAGACCTGAGCTCATCCTGATAATCTCCCTAAATATCTGTTTGCCTTTTCAAAGAACACAAAAAAGCACGTCGTGAACCTTGAAGACAAACTGCATGAAAGCTGCTTTTCAGCCAGAGGATTTGATCTGTTTTGAACATGGGATATGGATGAAAACAGGCACAATTGAGAAAAAACAATGAAAAAGAAAGGCAGCACAAGAGCTTCCAGCAACACCCTTCCACAAAAGAATACAACTGCTGTCAAGTAACTATATATAAAAGAAGGGATAGCATGTACTTGCTGTGTATTCTTCTAAGACTTCTAGTGCCATGGTATGATTTTAGAAACCTGGGTAATCTTATGATTTAACTTACTATTTTACTGATACTTTCCTATACAAGAGACCACTCTAGTCTCTAAGGCTGGTAATTTTCTCAAAATGTTGCGATCAAAGTGGGGGGGTGGCAGGATAAACGCTTTCTTGTGAACTTTAAATAATTTCAAGAAATGACTTCACAAAGCAAGGTTTGCTTTTGCAAACATAGCTCTATCAGCCTGTGGTTTGCTACCGTCCTAACACTGACAGTAACCAGAAACTTTAGGTACAATTAGCAGAGGCATTTCTTTCAATCTGATCACATACAAAACCTGCACACTACAATTCAGTGTACGTTTTGGATTCTAAGGGGTAAAGGGGGAATAAATATTTCCTCATATTCAAGCAACTTTGGACCTATAGGAACGACAAAGAACCTTGTCACTGCTTATACTTTTGGGAAAGTTCTACTGATGTACCAGAACAACCTAATTTTCATACCTATTCTTCCATGATCAAAATGATGCTAATATTCAGTTCTTGATGTTCTTAAAAGGATCAGGGACACTTACGATCATATAACTTATATGACAAAGTATATCCTTTTGCCCAGCAGATGAAACTGCGATTATCCTGAATGCAAGACTGCAATTGGAATAAGATGCCAAACATTTCAGCACACAGTTCACAAGATCTTGCCAATGTTTTCTGACTATGCAGTACCTGCACACCTACCCCCCAAATTTCCTTGTTCTCAGTGTGAGGCTGATTCTCGCTAATCACCTCAAAAATGCCTTAATACAAAACACATGAAAATATTTTTTATCTTCCTAATATGATGCTATAAAAGATAAAGCAAAATGGTTTCATTCATGGGATGATGCTTAAATAAGCTCTGAATTCTTCAAAGTTTTAGAGAAATTATGGTGCCTTGTTCTTTAAATCAGTTCTCACTTCCATGGTCCCTTGATTAAAAAAAAAAAAATGCCCCAAGAAATCAGAACCTTTCCTTGTATTTGATTAGAGAACTTTCTGTGAGTGTAATATACAGCCTGTTCTATTTTTCATTTTTTAATCAGCTAGACTGTTACAAACACTGGGAAATTATTTTCAAAAACATTTAAAAGACTTTTCATTTATACTGACAGGGCATTTGGTGTAAAAAAATGTTGAAAAGTACTAATGTTAAGACCACTCTCTTTTAGGATGTGCATTTCCAATCAGTAAAAACTAGAGTATATCACACACACACGAAAAGAGATTTAGAATTGCTACTTGATCAGTTATTTACTTTCGACAAGTGGTGAAGGAAGTAGTTTGAAAGCAGTGAATATTTGTGTCTGATTTTGGCACCAGGTAAAGAGAGAAAGGATAGTTTCATTATTTTTCTTTCATGTCACTTAACTCACCTGTAGTTATTTCTTTAGTTGTATTTTTCAGAAGCAAGCTAAAAACTGTCCCTCTTCCACTGAAGTATTTTTCAGCTGTGAGTGATGATATACCTAATTTTTGTTAAACTCAGTAAATACCCCAAAGGATTTTTAGAACAGGCTGTGTAATCAATTAACTTGACCTCAAAGAGCTCTTTAAGGCTCACCATTGTTGCCGGTGTATTTTAGGTGCTGAAAAAATCTCCAGGAGCAGTTAATTAGGGGTGAGATAAGAAAGGGTTTATTTGCCAAGGCTAAGATGTTACAGGACGCCCGCAGGCCGTGCCTGAGATGTTACATTTTATAATACCATCCATCCAATCCCAGATGTGTCCACCCTGTGGCCTTTACTCTGGTCCGCCCCGGGTCCATCCCCTGAAATGAGTCTGGGGTGTATTTTGGGACCCCCCTTTCATCCCATCTTTGTCTTCATCAGAGCACAAAGGGTACATAGTTACCTAATTCCTGACCTATTCTGTGGTTTAGGCCCAGATATGCTGTTCTGTCAACCATCTAGGCCTTGCCTTGACAAAAGACTAAACACTTCTGCTGTATTCAGAAGCAGGATTGATATGGGGAGCATAGAATGGGGTAAGAGGGTTAGGGAATGTATAAACAAGAGTGCTGGAGAAAGGGAAAGGAACAAGGGACAAGGCGGGGGGGGGAGGTTGCTGCTTTAAAACTTACTTATAAAACTTACAAGTCTTACAAATATTAGAAAAATAAAAAAACCATTAGGGGCTTAAGGCATCACCATACTCCAAAACTGCTCTATTTGTATCTTAAGAACTAAGACTCTGAAATGACGATATTAGGAGGAAACTGAATTTATTCTCATGCTCAGACAGATAATTTACAGGGTAGAAATATTTTTTCAAAAAGTAAACTCTTAATTTAGGAAACAATGCACACCTGCCTCATTCTGATAACAGGACAATAATGCTTTCTAGTCAACAGTCTTGCCATAGTTTCCCTGAGCCTACCACCAATTCTGTCAGAGGCTGAAATCATTGGTTTGCTCTCTGTGATGAGCAAGGAACATGCATGAAATCTAACTGGGAAATCTTTCTATGGGTTACATTGCACAGAGAGAAGAGTAGAAGGCATCCACAATAAAACCAGCATATCTCAGAGCATAATGATAACGCCCAGAAGTGTCTTTTCACAAAGAATACAAGAGATGGCGGAAAAGGTACTATTGAAATAGTTGTGCTTACTGGATGTGTACATTCCTGCTCGTTCTGTCAAGATAAGAAACAAAGCTTGCCTCAACTGTGTTGGTTTAATGGAATATGAATATGTAAGCAGCCAGATTCTGAACATAAAATTCACACCTCATCACAAGGAATAGTTGCATATTATCTTGCAGAGGTTCAAATTCAAAAGAAGGACTATTACAATATCATAATATAATATAATAATATAAGACCTTTCCCAAATCTTCGCTCGCGAAGACTGGCCATTATATATATATATATATATATTACAATATCAAGGCTACTAGTATAAACTGGTATTTCTTTTCAAGACTAGAAAACATATTACAAAAATCAAGAAAAATATCTAAATAATTAATCCAAAACTACTCTTCTGTTCTGAAGGACTCTGAAAAAATTAGGTAATATGCTGCAAAAGACCATATTAAACAGTTTTGGGTTTTATTATCACACCATTTCTGCCACATATTCTGAACTGAATAACCCAAATCTTTTATCTAACAATTCTAGTTTCTAAGAGACACATTTAAAGCTGAAAACTCTCTGGTCCGTTAAAAGAGCTGAAGAGACATAACTGAAAACAGTAACACAATAAATTAAACGAAGCAAATCCTCATCAATAACACAGAGTCTGTAACCAGTGCCCTCAGAAATGTTTAATTCTCCTTAAATGTCAAGCCCCATTTCATTGCTTATGAGAGAAACTTCCATGAACCAGTATTATCCCAATGCATCCATGTGTGCATGGTACCCACAAACAGATGCAGACGCTCATGATCAGCAGCGAGTGAGGCCACTTGAGCCCGAGGATCAACTCTTTTTTTTATTATTTTTTTTTTAACTTGCCCTATAAGGACACAATGCAAAGTGAAGGAGTAAATCACAAAGGAGTCAGGAGGACTCCAGACTTGCCTTCAGAAGAAACAAGCTTGTTCCTCAGACACCCAGCCCCAGGAGACCTGCAGCCTCCCAAAGGGCTTGCCGCAGCCTCCCAAAGGGCTCGCCCCAGCCTCCCTCGGGTGCCCCAAAGCCACAGGCCTTTCCAGCACTCGCGCTCTCCTCAGCAAAGCTCTTCTTTGCTATCTGAGTACCTTAAACCCACTCCTGCTGTGCTCGCCTCGTTTTATCACCTTCAGCACAACACAGCTCTCGGCTGAAACTGCAGCCGAGCACACCCCGGCGCCAGACCCTGAGCAGCGGCCGCAGCTCAAGGTGAGCGCTAAGGTGAGCCCAAGTCAGCGCCGATGGAAGGCGTCAAGGGACAGCGAGCACAGCCCGCGGAACGGGCACCAGCCGCTGAGGCAACGCCAGGGGTTCATTTGTCATCGCAACTTTCACCCAACGCTGTTGATAAAATCCAATCCGCCCTGGCGAGCCCTTCCAAACGGGAGATGGAAGTGCCACCGCGCCGCTGCCGGGCTCGGGGAGCAGACCGTGCTGACCACGGCGCAGCCCACCAAGGGTCTCACCTGACCACCTCGCTGCGGGGATGGCGCCCCGGCCCCGCTCCTCGGGATCGCCGGGGACGAGCGCCGAGGCCCGAGACCGCCGCCCGCGTCCCACCTGTCGGACGGCCGCGCATCCCGAAGCACCGCTGGCGGTGCCGCCCACCCCCTCCCGCGCCCCCGACTCACCGAGAAGCCGGCCCAGAACGGGCAGGAGTGGCGGACGCGGGCCGAGGTGGTGAGAGCCAGGGCGGCGAAGCTGACGGCCACGATGAGGCAGCCGAGCACCATCTGCGTGACCCCCAGGGCCAGCATGGCCCGCGAGCGGGCGCGCTGCTCGCGCAGGCGGGACAGGCTGCGGGACAGCGCGGTGGGGCTGAGCGAGCGCGCCCCGCCGGGGCCCCGCGCCGCCCCGCCGCCCGCCGGCATCGTCCGCGCGGCCCCGCACCGCCTCCTGCCGCCCCCGCGCTCCGCGGGGCCGCCGGGCGCGGGCGCTGCGGGGCCGCGGGCGGCCGCGGCGCATGGAGGAGGAGCTGCCCTGCGCCCAGGGCGACCCGCGCGGCCCCGGGCAGGGCGCGGCGGGCGAGGGGCAGCCGCCGCCGCCTGTCCCCGCTGCGGGCGCGGCGCGGGGGGGCTGCGGGGCTGCAGCGCGCGGGCGCGGCTCAACCTCAGCCGGCGGCAGGGGCGGCCCCGGTCCGGCCCACCCCGGCTCCGGCTCGCGGAGCGCCGCGGCCCCGCTGCCCGGCTCCTGCCTCCGCGGGAGGGGAGGGGGCGACGCGGGGAGGGGAAGGGGGGAGGGTCGGTGCGGCCAATGGCGGCCGGAGCGCCGGCGGCCGCCGGCCCTGCGGGCAGAGCGCGGGGCGAGGGGCCCAGCCCGCGGCCCCCCAGCCCCCGGACAGCGCCCGGGCAGGCTCCTGCCTGCGGGAACATCGCTCACACCTGGGCTTTGTGCGGCAGCGGCACCGGGCAACCTCCGCCCCTCGCTGTGTGATAATGGCCAGCGGTGGAGGCAGGGCAGGGCTGGTTCTCGGTTCGGTGCAAAAGGCATCTTAACCTTTTTTTATTTTTCGTTTTTCCATGCAGCGAACTATAACCAAGCCTCAGGTGCAGCATCCGCAGTTGCAGAAATATAACGAGCCTCTAATTATGAAAACTTCCCGGCCCCACTGCTGCCAACAGTGTCCAGCACAGTAAGGCTGCCCACAGCAGGTGAAACAGGCAAGTTTTCTGCAGAAGGGAAATCGCAGTGACAACACTGCCTGCAAACAGCTAGGCCTACTCATGAAAACCACAAAAACAGAACCCAAACCCTATATAGCAGGATAGTTTAGGCAGCAGAACTATTCCAGGGTTAACATGTTTGTAGCACCATAATCTGCTAGAGCAGTATTACTGGGGTTTTTTTATACAGGAATTGGTATGTATAGTGTACATATCTGTAATTCTGTGATGTTCATACAAAAACCCAAAACCAAACACCACACGTAAACCTGGCTTAAATCTTTGTACTTGAGGCCCTTTTTCTTCTCTTTCAAGAACTTTTCTTTGCATTAGTTTCCTGGGGAGGTAGTAGCAAGGAAATGTGCTTCGACGGGAAAGTGTCAAGAGAGTAGGTCCCGTCTTTTTCTCATAC